GGTCTCACCAGTCAGTACAGGTGCTGGGGGAACCTGTAGGAGATCACAAGGCCTCTGCTGATTTGGGTTGATGCTGATAGAGTCTCCAAATGTACAAATCAAAATAACTGCCACCATTGTCAGCTTCCCCACGTGTCTCACCCACGTGATCTTCCAAGTGTCTCTCCTAAGCCCCTGGTGCAAGTTTAAAGCCAAGAAGCAAGCAGGCCTTTCTCCAGTTGTCTCTCCTGATACTGACCTGCTTTCAATGTTGTATTGCTTCAGTGGGCCACACTCAGCCCCACCCACAGTTAAATGTGGTGGGGAACATGGCATACCTGCATTCGTGGAGATGCCTCTGTTATACCACCTTTGCTAAGTCCCATTTGGCTCTCACTTGACTCGAGTCCCCAGTTCTGCTTCCGAGTTCTATGGCTGTCTTTCATTTTAGACTTAAAAAGCTACCTTCTAGTGGCCCCTGCACCACTATGAGACTGAGGACCTCCAGACCAAGACTACTTTTATTTGTCTTTACATTTCCAGGCATTTAACGCAGAGCCTTCCACAAAGCAAGTATTCAAATTTCTTACATCTTTTCCGGCTACAGTTACTAAACAAAGTTAATACTTACAATATTCCAGAAACAGCGGCAGAACATAGATTGGCACCTGCACTTGAGGCATAGGCAAAGCCCACAACTCACAACTGTGCTATTTTCTAGCACAGTTTAGACAAATAAGAGGGGCACTTATAAAGAGAAGCCTCGTTAACAACAGCCGGAAGTGGCTTCCAGCAGCCACTCGGTAAACAGCTAGGGAACACTGATCATGCGCGAACTTGGCCACGTTGTGTGGCTGCTTCCTATTGCCCTCTCCAACAATTCTCAGGTTGACTATTTCGTCTTAAATTAAAAAAAAAAAAAGCCCTTGCTGTCTTATTTCCCTCCTAGCTGAAGACAGAACTGGACAGACTGGGTTCCAGGTTTCCTGGTAATAGGCTTTCTGTTTGGCTTCTCTCTGCCCCCTCGGTGGCAGGGCAGTTTTAGTTTGGACTTGATTTTTCTGGGAAGCAAATTATACAGCCCGCTGAGGCTTTTTCCTTCACTACATGTCGGCCACAACCATGGTTCTTATCTGGTATCCCTGATCTCAGCCTCAGAGTTTCTGGTTTACTAGGTCTGAGGTGTAGACCAAGAATTTGAGTTGTTAACAAGTTCTCTGGTGACCCTGAAACTGCTGGCTTGGGAAGATAATAGTAGAACTACTGGCCTAGATAATAGGCTTAAGCGACACCACAATGAAAAACCCTGACCAGATAGAAAAATACAGAAATATCTCATCTTTGATCATGCACGTTGCTTTATTTATACAGGTGCCTGCCTTTGTTTTTCCAAGAAGAAAGACTTTTGACTTGATTCAACTTGTAGAACCAGTCAAACTCAATATTTATATCAGATATTTACTTAGGCTAAATAAACATAGTTGTAAGCTATGTAAAAATAGAAGAGACTCGCATCCTGAGCTGCTGATGAGGATGGCACCCCAAACCTGCTCTCTCATGGATCTGTATCACAGTCCTGTTTAGACCAACATTATCAATAAACATTGTAAATAAACACATCCTCAAAATTCAGCAGTGTTCTATTCTCTGCTGTCATAACCCACCTTCCCCTCAGCACTCCATATCTGCTGTCAAAATTGTGTATTAAAACAGTAATGGCAGTAATTAATACATCATACTTTTAATATAAATCAACTTCAATATTAATTACCTAATATAAAATTCTGATGATATTAATTGAAACAGTGATGGGAGAGTCTATGAAAACATCAGAAATAATGCAATTACAAGAAGATTAATACTGGCATCTTTGGAAGGACATAACTTGTGCTCCTTAGCACTTCACTCCTTGAACACTCTCTGCAAGTGTAATCAGAATCCCAGTGGTCAGCTTTCATTGTAAACCATAATTATCACTGGCAATAAGTTTCTGTGTCAAAAGAAAGCTTATCATCCCCTTAGCAGGACTTGGGGAAGAGCATGAGTTCTATCCAGTGAATTCATATTTCATTGGTGCTAAAAACTCACATTGCTTTGCACTGTTGCATCTCTAAAATCCAGATGCATCTCACAGTGGATGCATTTTATAATCATAGATGGCCATGTGGTGGCGGGGTGTTGTCACTGCCTGAACATACACAAACCTAGTGTTTCTCCCCGGTAGGATGATTGGGCAACTGTCATCTCTGTGCTTCTGTCAACAAATCATATAAGGACCATCTGGAAAAGAGAGATACTGCCTGTTTTATGAAAACCTATTAACACTTTCTGTTAAGATCAAGAAAGTGCAGGCATCAAATTATATGCACTGGGTGTTGATGGCGTGGAAACAACAGTAGTGGGAAACTGAAATGCTCATCACCAACATGTGGTAATTAAGGACAATAACACTAATTGAGGAGAAAAAATAAAAAGAAAACTAGAGATTCTAGTTGCAGGAAAACCCCAGGAAATCTTTAATAGAGTTAATTTACTCATATTTTGCGTATGTGTACAAGGATGGTGTAGATAACAATGTATGTCTGTCTAAAAGTTTTCACTCAATAAATACTGAAATTTTTAAATGATAAAAAAAATTACAAATAGTTTAATTGTGAGTATCTTTTAAATAGCACTTCTCAATCTTTGGATCTGAGGATCCTTTTATAATCTTAAAAATTATTGAGGACCCGGGCCCTCCCTGGTGGTGCAGTGGGCTAAAATGCAGCACCACAAAGTTAGCCACAGACACTTCAGTGTGAGGTAGATCCCTGGCCCTGGAGGTGACCCACATGGCGTGACAGACATCTCCTGTCTCATCTGCTGCTCCCCTCAGCAGTGTACTTTGTCAATTTGCCTGTTTTGCTCCCCATTCTGTCTCTAGTGAATCTTCTCACGGTCCCTGCACCTCTGGCCTGCACCCCAGTTTTGTATGCATAATAAATATTTTTAAATACATTTTAAAAAGATTTATTTACTTATGCATACAGAGCTGAGGTACAGGCCAGAGGTGCAGGGGCAGTGAGAGGATTCACCAGAGACAGAGTGGGAGCAGAACAGGCCAACTCACAAAGTATAGTGTGGAGGGGAACAGAGGGCAGGTCAGGAGAGGTCTGCTGCTCCATGTGGGTCATCTCCAGGGCAGGGATTGAACTCTTACTGAAGCGGCTTTATCTTCTTAGTGCTGCATTTTAACCCGCTGTGCCACCAGAGAGGGCCCATCTTTTTTTTTTTTAACGAAAGGTGTGTTAAATGTCTAATGTGGCCGATACAATATATTAGCACATAAACACATGTTCTTTAGGGTCATATTGAATACAAAACACACATCCATTAGCACTCAGAGAATGACATGATCTTTCAAGACAGCCACTGAAAAGCTCCAAAGAACACTGAAGAGAGAATAAGGATAGCAAATGTCATAATATTAACAAGATTTCTGGGGCTCATGAAAGGAGGCCCACACTTTGAGAGCCAGCAGGATATAAAATAATGGTGTTTTTTATACCAGTAAGGTTCTGAATATGGGTAATTTGCACCCAAAATATTGGAAGGAATAAAATCTTGACAACATGGCAAGCTATTGTTGAATAGTTTGTGTTTATGTAGTGCTGTGAGCTACTGAGAAATTAACTGATACATATATCTGTATAAGTATACACACAAACACATACACATATATTGTTTATGTGACTGTGGCAGATATTTCCCCTCTCTTACTCTCAACTGGTCAGCTCAGCTCACACTGGCAGGTCTGAGCAATGCTGACCGTAGGAGAGGGTTGCAGTGTACCTTGAATTCCAGGAGGCAGTGGCCCTGACTGTCCAGGAAGAGAATGGGCTAGAAGTTGGCAGAAAAATAAAAAGGGGAGGATGGGTTGGCCCCCAGGTAAGAAAGCTAGATTTCCTGGAGACTGAGAGAGGCACTGGGGTCTCTCTTGCAGTTTTTGCCAGTGTGGGAGATCTGGGGAGACATGCAAATAGTTACCCAAGCATCTGTGGAAAATGGACACTGGGTCTCTTGGGCATTGGAGCACCAGTCTGAGTTCTACTTGGCTGCCCCTACTAACGATCAGCTTATCATGCAGGCTTGCACAGAGATCCTAGTGACATCACTGTAGACTGCTGACACCACACACACACACACACATACATATATACACATGCATACTTATATGTGTTAATTAACTTTATGTTATCAGTAAGGCCATTATTAGTTAAATTTTTGGAAGTCAGTATATCTAGATTTTCAGCTGGGAGGGGAGAGGCCAGAGTTGGTTACCCCTAGCCCCCATATTCAAGGACCAACTGTATAATATGCCATCGTTATTTGTAATGTGGATGTCCTGAAGACGTGAGACCTTCCACGCTGCATCTCCTGCAGGGTGAGCTGGCTTAAGCTTGACCCACTGCCTAATGGAAGATTAGATTAAAGCACATTGTCCTGAGTCCATAAGACAGCAAAAACCTACTGGAAACCGCAAAAGTTTTCTACGGCAGGGCGAGTGAGAGGCAGAAGCTGCATGGGGGAAAAAAGGGCCGACAAATTTCCTACTCCATCCCATCCCACAAAGTCGAAGCCTTTTCTCCAGCGGTAGCCTGTAAGTCACACATGAGACACAGGGGAATCTGTGCAAACTCCTAAGATTCCTAAGAGGCTGTGTTCTTCAGAATTTTCCTTACTTTTAATTTTGCCTTCGGGCTCTGGCTCTCAGCACAGTCGAGGTTAAGGAAGGCGAAGGTGAGCCTAAGCCGAGAGTTGGTGAGGGCAGGCGGGACCACCAAGGCCTTTGCCACCTGCTAGGAACCCGGGGTCGGAAAGCCTCGCGACGTTCCCCCTCCCACGCGGTCCCGCCCCCGGCGTGGGCGGGGCCGGCTCCTTGGGGGCGGGGCCAGGGGAGGGGTCTGCGGGTGAGTCACGTCCAACCAGAGGAGCTGAGCTCTAAGAGGCCCGCTGGGGAGGCGCCACATCCGGCTGGTGCCGGGTAGCAAATAAAGCCGCTGGGCCGCAGCAGTTTGCTTCCAGCCGCAGCACTGGGCTCCTCTTGGCACTCGGAGCAGCTGCTCAAATGCCCCAGAGTGGCCATGAGCGCCCCGCACTGGTGGGACCAGCTGCGCGCTGGCAGCTCCGAGGTGGACTGGTGCGAGGACAACTACACCATCGTGCCTGCAATCGCCGAGTTCTACAACACGGTGCGGGGCGCGGGAGTGGGGATGGACCGCGGGCTGGCGGGAGGGGGCTGTCCCCTTGAGCCTTCGCGCCTGGAAGCTGGACGTGGGTCTCGGCTTGTATCTGGGGCGTTCTTTCCAGGGCTAGAGTTGACCCACGCTTCCTCCCTTGCGCGCCCCTTCCAGTTCTCCATCTGTCTTCTGTATCTTTTCCTGACATCTGGGCTCATTGTCCTCCTCTTGTCATTTCCTTCGGATGGCCTTATTGTCTCCTTGGTCCGCACTCATCCCGGAGCCAGCGGTTTGTGTCAGCCCATTCTCCTAGGTTGGGACACTTGTGGGCCAGTGACCTGCCCTGACAACTCACTTCCTCTCCAGGACCTCCGTGGCATGACGCACTTGGGTCGCATTATGCGTTTTTGCTCTGAATACCTGTGCTTTGGGAGTGAGGGGGACCTAGCGGAGATACCTGGCAGGTCTCAGGAGTGGGCCCATTACAGTCTTGTTCCATCCCCTTTACTACACAAATGTTAGATAGAATTACTTTTGGCCAGAATTCAATTACCACCAATTTTTACTTTCTTGACTTTAGTACACAATGCAATGCCAGCCTCAAATTTATCCTCGAGCTCTGTACTATCCTCAGTTAAGTGTGGGAAGAGGAACGAAATCGGGGAGTGATCTATGCATACATGCGTACTCTGTTAGGTCTGTAGATATAGGCAAGTAGGAACTTCACTGCAGAATGCTGTGCCTTCAGTTTTTGTAGGAGGGAAAACTTGAAGCTGGGAAGGAAATGTCCCTTCTTTTGACCGTGCCCATGGTTGGGATTCTAGTAGGGAATATAAAACTTTCACGGTCATTTCTGTGGCTTAGCTTTCCATTACTCTCCTGCAGAAAACAGGAACTCCTGGTTTGGGTGTCATTGTGAATTGGAGTTATTATTTAGGATTCCTCCCTTAGCTTGCTGGAGAGAATGCCCTGGCCTTGGGTTGAGTGCTTATTGCCTGGAGGGATCTCCCTTGAGCTAGCTCTAGTCCCTTCTATTCTTACCATGGGGACACTGAGCTCTTGAAAAGGGGACCATCATGTTCACATTTCTGGCATGACTGGAGCCAAGATCCAGAAGTCTGGGCTCTCCGCTCAGCCCTGCAATCCATGGCTGCACTCCACACAAGGAATCCTGCTTCTTTTTTATGACCAGGTTAATTCTGCAAGAAAATCTGGCCCTCTCCATAGATACTGTGAAAGATTCAATGAGTTAGGAGATGGTCACACCTCTCCTTGCCCACAATCTCTTAGGGAGCAGACTGTCAGATGGAGTCAGGGGCCCACAGAGGACAGTTTGGAGCAGGGCTGGTCTTTCAATAGTGGTTACTTGGTTTCTCTGCTTCTAAGTGGAGCATACTACCAAGAATCTCACCAGTTAAAGAAGAAATGACAGTTTTCTAAGCCCGGAAAGGTAATTATCTGTGGAATTTGAGGTCAGCGTCAGCCCTGGTTACTAAGCCAAAAATGTTAGTGTACAGCTGCTCTGAGCCTGCCTTGCAAAGCCCCAGAGTGCTGACTGATAGGGAGAGTTTATTTTCACTTTACTTTTAATGTTGTCCCATTGGAGCCATTATGAAATCTTTTAGAAATGAACTGTTTGTCTTCAACTGTAGTGACTGCCTGACAAACCTTATTCCTTGGAATAGTTGTAAACCACAAAATTTGCTTTAGCAAAGTGGAGAGCTTAAAGTCGCAAAAAAAGTAGTTAATCACCTAACTCTGTTGAGTATTAGTCTGGAGAATATAGCAAAAAATCATTTTGTGCTCTGTTCCTCCTAGTTATCTTCTTGTGCAAATGACAGGTCAGACTCATGCTTACCTTACAGCTGTCTTGGGAAAGACAGTGAGCTATTGTTGATAAGTACCTCTTTACATATTCATAATAGGGCAGCAGGTCTACTTATCTGTTCTATAAAAAATTAAATATTTACTAATTCGGGAGGAAAGTGAGGAATTGAAGATAATAAAATCAGGAAAAGATTGGGAACAGGATATAGAAATTTCCTTTTTGATTTTTTAAAGATTTTTTTTTTAATAGAAGATCTGGAGTATAGGCCCTAAGTGTGGTAAGAGGGTTCACCAGAGACAGAGTGGGGAGCAGAACAGGCAGATTTACTGAAATACACTGTTAAGGGGAGCAGTGGGTGAGGCCGGAAAGGTCTGCTGTGCTATGTGGGTCAGCTCCTCAGCTGGGGATCAAACTCAGGCCTTAGGGGTGATAGTGCTGAGACTTAATCCCTATGCGACTAGGGATTTCTTGATCTAGAAACTTCTTAAGAGGTCTTGGGTCTAGTACAATTTTAATCACTGCTGGCTGTACTTAGCTGTTATGTGTTGAAGCTCTGTTGAGTACTGTCCAGTCAGCCTGGGCAGGGAGTCCTATATATTATATCCATTTGATAAAGGAGAAAATTGGGACATAGATACATTTCACAACCTGTTGAGGTGACAGAAATATATTTAGAACTTGGTCCATTTGACTTTACCAAATTATTTCTTAAAGATATAAGCACCTGGCTTCCCAGGGGCCTCAGAGCTATCAAGCTATCACCAGCCACTGTGACATGGCCATGGTCTGACCAGGTTGCTGACCTGTATGGCACAGCAGACCTCTCCTGTCTCACATGCTGCTCCCCTCAGCAGTGTATTTCAGTAGACTCTCTTGTTCTGTTCCCTACTCTGTCTCTGGTGAATTAATTCATCCCTTGCACTTCTGACATATGCATAAATAAATAAAATAAATCCTAAAAGGAAAAATAATAAACACTACACTACTGCACTACCTTAGACTTACTTATTTGGCATGGTACAAGCACTTCTTTTCTAGTCATTCTTTAACTTAAAACTTCTACATTGGGATATTTGCTCTATAGGCAAAACTCATGATATTTGATATGAAAACAAAGTTTGTTTAAAATAGTGTTTTGGTTATCATTGTTGTTTATCATAAAAAGTAATAATCTGATCATAGAGTATACACATTACAAAATGAAAAATAACTTTTTTCTGTATCTTTTCAGACATTTCCTAGGTAGGTAAAAAGTGCATGTAATTGTGTAAGCATTTAAATATGTACATATAGTATATAGTGTATACACACACAATCTAAGGTTTTTTTCCAAGCCTATTGATATCATACTATACAGATTCTTCTGATTCTTGTTTTTTTTTCCCACTTACTACGTGTTGGAGATAGTTCCATATTGGCTTATATAGTCCCATATTAGCTTATCTTTTTCTTTACAACTTCTGTTCAGTATTCCATTAATTGGACTGACCATAATTTATTTACAGTTAATCCTTTGTATATGGACATTTAGGGCTGTTTCTGTCTTTTTTATTGTTCCATTTTGATTTTTGAGCATTGATATGATGAATATCCTCATATATGCATCTGGATCTATTTTTGCAAGTACTTATATTAGCTGAGGAATTGCTGTGTCAAGGAGAACATTCACTTTAAGTGCTGATAATTGTTTTTAAATGGTCCACCAGAGATCGTGCCTTGATTTACATTCCCACTATGTTTGGATGTACAAAGCATTTGCCTTGAGGCACCACAGGCTTCTATTTCTTCAGATCTTGTCATCATCCTTTGCTTCAGCCAAGCCCAAATAGCTCTTCCAAGAACATGTCATGTCCTTTTCACAGCCTTTGCTCTGCAGATTTTGTACTATTTCTTCTACATACAAATTTTATTGACTTGATTTCCTTTTTCATTTTATGTTTTCAGGCCCTGGTCATACTAAGGGGAAGTATTCAAGTCCTCTTCCCTTAGGAAAACATTGGGACCTGACTTTTAACCACTGGGCTTGACCTTGAGGGGCTCTGTTCTTGGCCAGTGACTCGGGGACAGAAGGGAATCATTTGGTGATTAAAAAAAAAGAAATCTTGGCCCTCCCTGGTGGCGCAGCGGGTTGGAGCACACCACTGAGAATCTAAAGCCGCTTCCTCATGGGTTCGGTCCCCGCCTGCCCCGGAGGTGGCCGCATGGCGTGGCAGGCCTCTCCTGACCCGCCCGCTGCTCCCCTCAGCAGTGTACTTCGTCAATCTGCCTGTTCTGTTCCCCGCTCTGTCTCTGGTGAAGTCTCTCGCCTGTACCCCAGTTCTGTAAGCACAAATAAATAAATCTTTAAAAAAAAAGAAATCTTGATGCAAAATATATGAGTAAAATCAGTCCTTTATCTGTTAACTCCCCCAATTAGATCTATTCCCAGTCATCAAGACAAATAACTCTTTATAATATGCCAAGTCTATGTCCTACTATCTATAAGGCAGATTTACCTATCTTTCTATCCTCCCTTCTACCCACCCGTCCATCCGTCTGCCCATCCATCAGACAATCACTATCTGTCACAGAGAAGCGCTTCAAACAAGCATATAAGTCACCAAAGGTGTGGTTAATGCACTGTAGGAGGGTATTGTCTTGTTGGTGTGGGGTGAGGAGATTTTGCAAGAAGGGTTCTGAGCTTGTTCTGGTTTGCCTGCTGTGTTCTTAGTTCTAAAACTGAAAGTACCAGGCCCTTGGGCAACTCCTCATTCCCAGGCAAAACAGTTGGTCATCACAGAGGATGGATGGGAGCAAGAATCTGCTTGCAATTAAGAGGCGCAGACTTTGCCAGTCTGGTAGGGTGGAGCTCCTTGTCTGTTTCGGAACCTACTGCTCAGAGCAAAACAAAACACAGCAGGACAACTTGTTGCTTTTTCAGTATTTACTCTGTCAGGCAAAGTGTGGCGTCACATGAGTCAGGATGAGATTGCAATGTGTTTGTGAGATTATTGTGGGAAAATGTTATACAGGAATTCATAGAATGATGAACTTTCTAAGTAAATAATTAATGTATTTTTAAATTGTGGTTTCCTTTTAATTAAGAAAATCTGTTCTACATGAATTAAATAACCAATTCTCCAAAGGATAATCCAACAATAGGCTTTAAAAAATAGCCCTTGGCTGAACTGCTCTTCACCTTTGGTGACCCACAGAATATTGAGGTGTAGTTTTACCTCTCAGTCGAGACAGAGCCATTGAATCTTGTAACCATGTGCTTTTCTGTATTTCTCTATGTGCTTTTCTGTATTTCTCTATGAGTTCCTTCCTCATTTTGTGTTGTGGAGCATCTCCCTATAATTTGGTATTTTTTTTTTTTCCATTGATGTTTTTAAAAGGTGTGGAGGCCAGTGGGTGAGGGCAGTTGGTCTCTGCCAAGGTGATTTCAGGATTATGTGGGAGCATGTGTTATAATGGGGCTTCTAAGTTGAACCCCCTCACTGTGTGCATCATGCATGTTTGCTGGTGTAGAGTGGCTTCATGTCTTTGTGACTGGTGTGTAAATACATTTACAAATGAGTAACATATATGCTTGAGGTGACATACATCAAGAGTCACTCATGAAACAAATGACTTGGCCTACATAGGTATACATGTCTGAACAAAGGGGATTGACAAGACAACTTTTTTTTTACTATTTATTTATGCATATAAGAATTGGGGTACAGGCTAAAGGTGCGGGTGGTGAGAGGATTCACCAGAGACAGAGTGGAGAACAGAACAGGCAGATCTACTGAAGTATACTGCTGAGGGGAGCAGTGGGCCAGACAGGAGAGGTCTGCTGCGCCATGTGTGTCACCTCCCTAGCTGGGGTGATAGCTCTGAGACTTATTAACCACTAGGTCACTGGAGACGCCCAGATTGAGAGGACTTGGGGCAGTAAAGATAAATTGGAGGAAAAAGCAAAATGTGTTAGTCTCCAACACTGTAGGTGGGGCTTTCAACTGATGTTCCTTCTACTGGTGGGTATCTAAATAAAGTGCTCTCAGCAACATTTCCAGCTAGTGAGATAAATCTCTATGAACTCAGGTGAAAGAGTTTGCAAGGCACATTACTGAATGTGAAAAAGAAGTTGCAGAATGATAATGTTACAGCACATGAAATATATGTGTTCACATTATTGCCAAAACAATGACTTGAAGAATGTCTGAGGACAATGGTCCTCCTAAAATAGAGACTTGAGCTTTGTAAGGTTTTGGCCCCCAAGAGAGCACATTCATGTAAACAAAAGGAGAAAGATGAGGTTTTCAGTTACCTGTAGATTAACAATCCCATTTTTGTTCCTTCCTCCTTCACCTCCTTTTCTTCCTTTACTAAAAGAGAGCCACATTTAAATCATGGAACAGGTGATATGTGTACAATAGGTGGTATAGTTAAGCCAGGGGACTCAGGATATGATTGGTGAGCTAGGGATGAAGAGCAGCATGGGTCTGTGGAGGTGCATGAGGCAGCCAGGTTGGGAGTGAGGGTATGGCTCCAGTCCTGGGAGTCTCTTTCACTTTCCCTGGAAAACAAGAGATCTTTAAGATTTCTCACCTTAACTCTTAGAGATCTTCGAGTCCATGTAAAGTTAAAGGTTGAGGTGATAGCAATATATATTAGCCTCTGCCTATATTCTGTCTCCTCACCTGCTTCCTAGTAAGTGGGAGTTGGGCATACTTTGAGACTTGGGACAGCTGAAGCAATTTATCCATGCTCTAGGGCTCTAGGGCTCCAAGCGGAAAGAAAAATAGATCCCAAGCAAGAGGACTAACAAGAAGGGACATTTTCTCCAGAATATCACAGCCTCACAAGGGATTTTAGTCTTGAATTTTAGTCAAAGACAGCAGCCCAGGTCCTGCCTCACCTCTGACAATGGGTGTTTTTTTCCCCTTTTCTTTTAAAAAATTCTCCCACTCTTTCTCCCCTTTATGTTACCCCTAACCCTTTTGTTCCTAGTTGGGTGACAGAGACATTTGTTGACCACTGAACCTGTCAGTCCTTATCTGTACCTCAAGTTCTGGGTTTTGCTGACACATTTTGTGTAGTTGCCTACCTGTGTGATTTCCTCGATCTGGAAAAGTCCTTCTACTTTGGTTCAGTTCAGGCCCCATCTTGTGGATTCTTGGAAGCCTCCTTTGTATGATCCAACACAGATACCTTATTTCTTCTCTAGAAAGCCTCCATCACCTTGACTTTCTGGACTCCATTTCCTCACCAGCCTATCTCAAAAAAGGTTTTTTTTGGGTCTTGTTTTGGTGTGTGGACCCCTCCTACCCAATCTCTGTTGCAGCTCATGTAGACTTAGCTATTTTCTTCACATTCTGCACACTTCTCTGCATTTACAGTCCTTTCTGAGGAATGCCTCATTCCATAGTTAGAGATGAAGCATTCTCTGGTGGTGCAACAGGTTAAAGCACATCACTGCGATGCTAGAGATGAAGCATAGAAAGCTGAATGTCCATGTCTTTTCACACCTTCTAGGATGACCCAGCTAAAAACAGGAAATAATAAGTATTGGAAAAATTAGAACCTTGTCTGAAATGGTTCAGACACAGTTTGGAAGTTACTCAGTGAGTTAAACACAGAATTATCATATTACCCAACAATGCCATCATGGGGATATACAGGTGCTCAAAACAAACGCTTCTGAATGGATAATTTAAATGTGGTACTCATACATTGGAATATTATTCAGTGACAAAAAGGACAGTCATATCAATGGAGAATGAACCTTAAAAATACTATATAAGTGAAATGCTAGACATACAAGATCACGTATTGTATTATTTTGCTGTTATAAAAGAGTAGGAAAATTCATAGAGGTAGAAAAACTTAGTGGCTGCCAGAGACAGGAGGGAGGAGAGAAATGGGAGAGTGACTGTTTAATTGGTATAGGGTTTTGGGGGAGTGATTAAAACATTCTAGAACTAGCTAGGGGTCATGAGTGAACATTATGAGTGTATTAAATACCACGAACTGTATACTTTAAAATGGTTCATCATGTATTACATAGATTTTTATCTCGACCTCAATTAAAAGATATTGGTGGGGGGCAGGGGTGTTGGAAAGCTGGCTATGACCTTAAGAAAAAAAAAAAACTAGCTATAATAAAACAAAACAAAAATTAGATGTTAATTGATGGAGTTATGTTGTCTAATGTGGTAGCTTCTGGCCCCTCTGGTCTTTGAGCATCTGAAATCTGGGTGGCCCAATCAGAGACAGGCTGTGAGTGTGACATGTGCCCTGGGCTGTAAAGTTTTGTGTAAGAAGAATATAAACTCTCTTATTAATGTTTTTTAAATAATGATTGCATGTTGAAAGTGATATATTAAATTTATTGCGATATTTGAATATAGTGCATTAGATACAATGTATTATTTAAAATAAAAAATCTGAGTGCCCCCCTACAGCGATAACAAAGAGGAATTGATCCATACCTATTCCTAAAAGATAAAATGTCATAATTTTAAAGCTGGGAAGGAATTTAAGTAGGTTTTGAGTTTAGTGAAAAAGCTGCAGAGTGGCTTGGGGACATTAGAAAGAATCCTGCCTTCAGTGGGCCCAGCAGAAAAGACTGGCAAATGGTGCAAATTGTTGGAGGCTGAAATATTGATCAAGTCCTTCTCACTTCTTCATTAAGCTCCTTTTTTCTCCTTTTCACCATTATTTAGTGCAGTCTTATCTTGCAAAATGTATGTGCGTCAATTAGAACGATAGTTCATGAATGCAAGAGTCAATGATTCTTTGAATCAAGAGAGCAGCCTGGGTACCTTCTGTAGATTGCACTGCATTTCATAGCTGCTTCTGCATTGGAGAGAAGGGACTGAGTCCCTCTAAATGGTTATAGAAGACTTTCCAAGTTTTCCCTGTTGTTTATACACAGTTTAAAAAGTCTGTGCTTAAAAAAAAAAAAAAAAAAAAAAAAGTCTGTGCTTAAACACAATGTATGGCCATGTTCATCCCAGGTTGAAAAGGACCTAGTTGAATAAGTTATCTTTTTTTTGCCCTTGAATTTAATATTCATCTTTTTGTTTTGCATTTCTTCCCCCAGATCAGCAACTTCTTGTTTTTCGTTTTGCCACCCATCTGCATGTGCTTGTTCCGCCAGTATGCAACGTGCTTCAACAGTGGCATCTACTTAATATGGACCCTTTTAGTTGTCGTGGGTAAGTGGATTTGTTTGTGAGCACGGACTGAAAGGGAGGAAATGGAATTCCGCACACTTCCTGTTCCCTTTGAACATTATGTTTTGTAAACCAGAGTTACTCTGACGTCTTAACAAACTTTTATTTTGCTTGCTTGATGCCAAAAGAGAGACTCTTGAATACAGGCTTGATAACAGGGTTGGCTGGAATGATCGCTTACGGGGTTTGGGAGTTCATTTATGTGAAATATTGGTGTCGTGCCAGCGCAGTTTTCTGAGAACTTCTGGGGAAAGTCATGGGCAACAATTGCACTCTGATGAGATTGTGCTTTCTAATGGACCACCTTAAAGGGGGAAAACCTGGATATTTGATCCTTCATTGTTCTTGGAAATACCTATGTAATTTCCATTTCCTCCAACAGGCAGATTGAGAACTTTTTTTAAAAAAGATTTATTTATGCATATAGAACCTGCCAGAGGTGCAGGGGCGGTGAGAGGATTCACCAGGGACAGAGTGGGGAGGCAGAACAGGCAGATGGACCATGCAAGCTTCTGAGGGGAGCAGCAGCTAGGTCAGGAGAGGTCTGTGGATTATCTCTGGGGCTGGGGATCCACTGCTGAAGAGGCTGCGGCCAGCTTGCAGTACTGTACTTTAACCCATTGCCACCAGGGAGGGTCCAGACTGAGAGTTCTTAACAGGGAAAGAATGTTGATTTTTATTTACTGCCTGTTTCCATAAAGTCCCAGTGCGTTAACCTATGAAATAGTAAAGTTCTGATGTGCTGTTTGGGTCCTACTTAAAGTCCTCCTGCATATTAAGGTGGTGTGAGTTTCTTCTTTCAGTTTCTTTTTTCAAAGATTGAGCTGGTGTTTGCATTAGCTGTGGGTGAAAGGACTATCTTTAAGCAGTGTATTGCCTTTGTAAGCTTGTTCTTCCTTGATGACTTTTTTTTAATTGGTTGTAATTGATTCTAGGAATAGGATCTGTCTACTTCCACGCAACCCTTAGTTTCCTGGGTCAGATGCTCGATGAACTTGCAATCCTTTGGGTTCTGATGTGCGCACTGGCCATGTGGTTTCCCAGAAGGTATCTACCAAAGATTTTTCGAAATGACAGGTAAGCTTGTGTAAAGCACTTTTGCATGTATTGCTTGGTGCAATACCCAGTATAACAAGGTGTGTATCAAGAAAAATTGCACATATCAAGCCCAGTCTAGTGAAGAGTTTGTCATATACTTCCTTACTATCCATTGGTTATGTACGATCTGAGAGTATAAATAAACTGAAAGGTAAAAAAAGAAATGTTAACATATTTGAGGAAGAATGTACATGATGTGAGGGATGATAATTCACATGTCTTCTTATTTGATCTGAGCCCAAGTGTAAAGATTTTCAGTGATGATGAAATCACTGAATGGCAATTCAAAGACTTTAATTTCTTGCCAGAACATTTCACATTAGACATTAGACATTGAATCTAACACTTTGTCACCAGGCTTAGAGGTTGCAGTAGATTATACCTTGCGGAATTAGTTCTCTGAGCTATCGATGGTGTAGTTCAAATTGTGTTAGTTTTGTTTCTAATGAGCATTATATATACCTCCAAGCTGGAAGTTCAGAATTTCAAAAAGTGGTGCATTTTAATATCTACTACATTATACTTATATGATTATTTATCCAGTAAATATTTTTTGAAAATTTACTATGCAGTTTCTAGGTGATGGGTATAGAAATAAGCAAAACAGCTGAGTCTCTGCCCTGAGTAAGCTTATTAAGCAATAAATCAATGAACATATAAATATATTAGGGTGTGGCATGTGTTTTTGATGCAAATGAAGCTGGTAAAGGGATAGTGATGACTAGGGTGCTATTGTGGAGATTGATCAGTGAAAGTCTTTCTGAGAAAGACCTCTATAAATGAGGTGTGTTGAAATATGAAGAAACAGAAGAGAAGCAGACTCATATAGATGAGAAATGATTCCAGAACATACCACCCACATATTTTTCTGCGGAATACTATGTTTTGTCAAGTATACAGATAGACAAATAGTCTAAAGCTTTATTCAGTTGGTTCAATTAAGCAAATTGTATGTACTCAGGGAAGATTTAGTTAGGGAAATTAAAAAAAGTCACCATTTTTCCTGGTACTTTGAATAGGAGTAGAAACCACTCAGCTGTTTAAAAAGGCCAAGGCTGCTCCCTAGGGGGCTGAGGTGGAGGAGTGTCTATAAAAGATGCTGGCTGCAACAAGTTCTTTGTAGAACTGTGAATGCAATATCTGAATTTTAGAATGAAATGTCTGGGAGGATGAGGACAGTAGCTATGATCAGCGACTATTAGGAAGTGGAGTTGAGAGAAAATTTTCACTTTTACCTTTAATCTGTACTATTTTCGGGTTTTTTAAAAAAGATTTATTTATTTATGCATACAGAACTGGGGTGCAGGCCAGAGGTGCAGGGGCAGTGAGAGGATTCACCAGAGACAGAGTGGGGAGCAGAATAGGCCAACTCACAAAATACACTGCTGAGGGGAGCAGGGGGCGGGTCAGGAGAGGTCTGCCGTGCCATGGGGGTCACCTCCAGGGCAGGGGATGAGGTAGGGAGAGAACAAAATTTATAAATGGCTTAGGTATATGGTCTTCACCTGGGCCAGCAGGATTTGAATTACATTGTTTTAGCACTGAGTATCATTGAGCAGGTAGAAGAATCATCAAGGTTATTTTTCAGAAAATGAAAAATGAGAGTCAGCTCTTTCCAAGTTGAAGGAAAAAAGATGGTCTTAGAGGGTCCTAGATGATTACAGTCTCCATCCTGCTCAGGCCCCTCAGTGACCCCTCACATACTTTAAAATGCAACGAATTGGGCCAGGCTCTTTGTTTCTAGTCTCGCTCTGCCTCCTGATCAGCTTCAGGAGAATGGCTGTGTTAATGGGTGAGGAGGGGGTGCCAGAGGGGGCAGAGGTTGGCAGTGCGACAGTGTCAGGAGTTGGCATCGCGGCAGAGATGTACTGACTCTGTCTTTGGAACAATCTGTCTTCTGGCTTTTCCTGTTGTGTCAGGAGGTGGCAGGCACCTGTTCCTCCCCCTGAACCTGGTGTGACTAGGTTGAAAGCTGAAGAACCACATTGGTTTAATCTCTTACCTTTCAACTGCTGGGATCTGAGCAAGAGTTGAAAACATGGGAGTAAGAGTTGTTTATTTGGGTCATTTGATTGCTCTCTGGAATCGTGGGTTGAAGTTCCAAGTGAGGATTTTTAATGTGTTTATGATAGAAGACCTTTTTCTTTTCTCATTTCTTAAGGGTGGGAGTAAGGGGGTGTTGTTATGAGCTGCAGAGGAGGAAATAGGGCGTGGTTGTAGTAATTATAGCTTATTACCTCTAATAATACAGTTGCATTGTGTAGCAGAGGGAACTATGGCCAAAGGGGCAGTTTTAAAACTTTTTTTGAAAATTTATAAATGTGTTACATATTTTTTTTTTCTTTTTTGAACAATGTTTGGTTTCTTTTCTCAGCTGTAGTCCCCATAGGGGGAGTTTTCCATGACCAGAGAGCACCTCCTCTCCCTTCACTGTGAGGATGTGACTACCTGCTATTAGCTTCCCTGTTTACAAACTATAACTTGTCTCTTTGATTCTTTACCTTTGTATTTCCTCATCTGTAAAATGAGTTAAATAAGAATATTCATCTCAGGAGTCTTATGAGATGATCCTGTCCAGCATGAAGTGTGGAAGAATGGCCACAGCTCAGAGTTTGCTGTTTTGACTACCAGTGCCAGGTGGAGAACTTGTCCAGTCCTTCTGAGGCAGGCTGACACCCTGGAGAGACTGGGCATGGATGAGTTTAGTGAGAAGATGGAAAAATTCATGTTGGAAAACAAGTGGCTCACTATACATAACGATTTCAGCTCTCTCCGTTTTCAATTTGCCAGTGTTGGGAGAACAAGAAGGCCAAACCCCTGAGTGTGGGCTTTACTCCTTGGGGATAAGGGACAGTGGCTGCTTTGCAGGTGATCTGGCCATGCAGACCAAAGATCTTAGGTCAAAGAGAGATTTCTAGTGACTAGGGATTGTATGGTTTAGCTGCCTAGGACTTTACAGATAGTTAATCTCTTTTCTCTCTTCACCCCCACGCCTCTTGATATAGGCATTTCTGGACTATTCTAAAAATACATTAAGAATAGTTTCAGTTACTCAGCAATCAAAAAGGATAAACTCATGCCCTTTGCAGCAACATGGGTGGAGCTGGAAGGGATTATGCTCAGTGAAATAAGTAGGGGGGGGGGGAACAACAACAACATTGAATGGTCTCACTTATAGGAGGAATATAGAGAAAACAAAAAAAGGAGTCAGTAAAAAAAGTAAAAGTAACTAAAATAAAGTAAAAATCAAAGTCATCAGTAAACCATAGCTCAGAGACATTCTGTAGGGAGGAGGAAGGAGAAGGACCAGGACAGGGAGGGAAGAGCGCAAGGGACGATGGGGATGATGCACGGAGGAATCCGCGGTGGGAATTTCACGGGGAAACCATACATTGTACAAAAATGAAGGATGATATAATGAATAGATTTAAAAAATTAAAAAAAAAAGAATAGTTTCAGTGTGAGATTTCTAGAGAACATTCAGGAGTGTGTGACAGCCAAAGTCCTATTCAAAGTGACAGATAGGACTTTGAACAGCAATCCACTTTTTCAAAAGCTCTTGAGACCTGGTTTTGATCATCTGTAAGGCAGAGCTAATGAAAGCATCTTCCTCATGGGGCTAAAATACATGGGAAATCATGTAAAGTGCACAGCATAATTTCTTATAAAAGAAAGGATTCAATAAATTCTAGCAGTTATGAAGAATGGCTAGTATAGATAAATTATTTTGAAGGCAAGAATGTTTTAAAAAGAAATGGGGTGATTAAATTAAGAATAACTAGTGGACTAAAAATACTTCATTTTACCTAGTATGTCCTGAGTAACCAGGACATACACTCAGCTGCTGAGAGCTATTTATGATTTTTAGACATTTTTACTTTGAGACAACTAGGAACAAATAACTATTGTAAGACAATTATACCCATTTCCTAAAGAATATGTCTGCTGTGATTTTTTGGTTTTGCCTCCACAAGAGATAGGGACAGCCCTCACTTCATAATCCAGTTCCCTTTTAGGGTCCTGAATAACAAAGTTGTGGGCCGAGTCTGTATAACCTGCTCTCACACTTGGGAGATGTCTTGGTGTTAGCCTCTTAGACTCTTTGAATCTCATTTGCTCTTTACTTATAAAATCACAGGAGCAGACTTTCTAGGACCAAATGCTGCAATCCTGTGAGTATCAGGCTAGTTGGCCTACAGAGAGTTAAAAACAGTGCAGTTAACCAGGGATATCAGGGGTATTTCCACCCCACAAGGGACATCTGGGAAATTTATGGGCCTATTTTCTTTCTTTTTCTTTTTTTTTTAAAGATTTATTTATTTATGCATACAGAACTGGGGTACAGACCAGAGATGCAGGTGGTGAAAGGATTCACCAAAGACAGAGTGGGGAGCAGAACAGGCAGATCTACTGAAATACACTGCTGAGGGGAGCAGTGGGCGGGTCAGGAGAGGTCTGCTGTGCCATGTTGGTCTCCTCCCTGGCTGGGGATTGAACTTGTGCTGCAGTGACTGCAGCTTCATAGTGCTGTGCTTTAACTTGTTGTGCCACAGGGAGGGCATGTTTTTGATGATCACAGTGATGGGAGTTTTAACATCCAAAAGTTTCTATTTCACTTCAGAAGACTAAAAAGAGCCTTCCTGAATATTTAATATAAAGGGGACCCAGGGTCTGGTAAGGTTGAAAACCATACTTTTAAAGGTAGCTGAAGACAACAGCTGCACCTTTATTCAAATAATACTATGATGTTATTGGGTCGCTAGATTTTGGTTTGCAGAGTACAGGAAGGAGGGTGCTAAGGGCTTCCTGACCTTGTGTTGCAGTTTGAGACCATGATGGGCTGGAAGGTTGAAAACAGGACCAGAATCTATAGTAGAGCTGTCTCGAGCCATTGTTCATAAATTCCCCTGTCGGGGTCCTTGGCTTCTGTATATCTAGTGTCTCTGGGGGCCTCCGGGACAGTTGGCTTTTTGCCTGCCATGTGACCTCTGTTTACTTCTGCTGCTTGCAGAATTGTGCATTCACAGGATGTCCTGGTTGGTGAAGCTGCCTTCCCTTAGCACATTCCTCCACGCCCTCTGTTGATGTTCTGTCTGCCAATGTTCTCCTGAGAGAAAGCAAGTTACATCAAGCTTGCTGCCTTTGAACTGTTTGCCAGGACTATAACAGAGCCTTTGGTGACTGCGGTCCCAGCCAAAATTTTCCTGAGAGTATGATATTATTAGCAATGTTAATATTATTTAAAATAGCACTTATTCTCAATGGTTGGTAAAAATAGTAATAGTAATAATAATAATTTGATTAACACATACTATAGAACAGACACTGTTTAGAATTTTAATGCTTGCAAGAACTCCATCAGCAGGTTTTCTTAATTTCCATAAGGAAACCTGAGATTTGGAAAATTTAGAGATTTGCTAGCTACTAAGTGATAGAGGGAGAATGTGAACACGCATTGGTCTCGCCGGAACACCTGAGCTTTTAATTGCTCTGTTGCCCCCTTTTCTCAGCTAGTGCTTGAATCTGAAACTGCTGTACACAGCAAGGCGATGGATTCAGGTTTCTGATGATGTATGCATCTAATCTAAAAAGACTTGAATAGGGGGCCTCCCTGTTGGTACAGGGGTTAAGTCTCATCACTGTAGCAGGCTGTCATTGGCCACTGTGGCATGAGTTTGATCCCTGGCCATGGAGGTGACCCACATGGCTCAGCAGACCTCTCCTGTCTGGCCCACTGCTCCCCTCAGAAGTGTACTCCAGTAGATCTTTCTGTTCTGCTCGCCTCTCTGTCTCTGGGGAATCCTCTCATCACCTGTACCCCATTCTTGTATGCATAAATAAATAAAAATAAATCTTTAAGTTGGCCTGTGTCACAGAACATCAGACACAGTGAAAACCTTATGATCGGCCCCCAGTGACCCTGCACGTGACAGGGAGGGAGAGTAGAGAGTGGAGCAATGCCCTTTTATCCAGTAGCTGAGGAGGGCAGCCAAGCCAGAAGAAAAACACCATTCTCCTGAGATTTTGCAGCCTGGGTCCTTTCCTCCACATGTTTTTTCTCTGTTTGAAGTTCAGGGCCCCAATTCCTGTTCATTCCAGTCAGAAAGTTGGCAGTTTGATCAATGATTTCCTGTGCCTCGATGATAAGTGATTTCCCTCGCAAAGAGATAGATTTGTATCTTGAAGGTTTCCATGCACTGTCATTTCTTTAGAATAGAATTTCATTCAAATTTGTTTCCTAACTGTGAACTATTCTAGGGCTCTTGGCCAAAATAAATTGTGCTAATGAGGAATAACAGCCATTTCAGTCATGATCGAGACCTTAGAAATCATGTAGTGCAGACTTTTCATTTCGTAGATAAGGAAATGGAGTCCCAGGGAGCGATGAAGGAGCATGTCTGAGATCACGTCGCCACTTCTTTCTACTGAAAGCACCTCACTGAACAGTGTGAGGACAGTATCAACTATTTGCCTAGGATTTGTTATGTCAAAAACTTTCAACACAATATTTCAATGTTTACTAGGCTGTGAGTTGTCCATACATACAGACACTTAGAATTTTTTAAGACTTCCTTATGTGCATTAGGCACAACCCATTTTTTTTCTTTGCTTTTCTATATTTGTTTTTTTAAGATTTATTTTTTCAATTTATGCATCCAAGAACTGGGGTACAGGACAGAGGTGCAGGGGCGGGGGTTGAGAGGATTTACCAGAGACAGAGTGGGGAGCAGCAGCAGTGTTTGACTGAAATACACTGCTGAGGGGAGCAGCGGGTGAGACAGGAGAGGTCTGCCATGCCATGTGGGTCACCTCCCTGGCTGGGGTTGGAACTCATGCTGAAGTGGCTGTTGATAGCTTCATAATGCTGAGACTTAAGTCCTTGCACCACCAGGGAGGTCCTCATTTTTTTCGTTTAAAGTAGAAGCTTCACTAAACCAAGCCTTTGCTGCTTCGGTGCAAGTTCAATCCCCACTCTGGAGGTGATCCACATGAGGTAGCAGACTTCTCCTGTCTCACCTGCTGCTCCCCTCAGCAGTGTACTTTGCCCACCTGCCTGTTCTGCTCCCCATTCTGTTTCTGGTGAATCCTCTCACCATCCCTGCACCTCTGGCCTGTAACCCATTTCTGTATGAATAAATAAATAAAATCTTTAAAAAAAAAAAAAAGAAAAACCTCAAGGGTTGGAAAAAAGTCTTTTCATTGTAAGTGTCATTTGTGCTCAGGGTTGACAAACTGCAGTCTGTGGGCCTAACCAGCCTGTGCCTGTTTTTGCAAATCAAGTTGGTGCACGACCCAACCTATTCACTTGCTTATTGTCTACAGTGTAATGTTGAGTAGCGGATATTCAATGCCTTGTAAGTCCTGAAATATATCATTATCAACCTTTAGGGAAAGGTTTGCCACACCCTACTGCACAACATCTAAAACATCTAGAAAAGTGACACTAAGAAAACAGTCATCCATAGCTCACCTTCAGAGCCTCCAGCTGATTCTCATTTTACCATTGTCATACTAGATATTTCAAAAATTTCTGATTTTGTAAGAATTAGTTCCAGGTGGTGGAACCACTGTGATGGTCTTAGATTTTAGTACTTAGTGCAAAGTTTTTTCTCTGGTTGCACTCCCACCAGCTGCATCTATACCTTGATAGTCAACAGATAAGACCTCCTGTTCTAATGAGTTTGGTTTATTTCATGGATCCAGGGGCCGGTTCAAGGTGGTGGTCTGTGTGCTGTCAGCCGTGACAACGTGCCTAGCCTTTGTGAAGCCTGCGATTAACAACATCTCTCTGATGACCCTGGGGGTTCCTTGCACCGTACTGCTCATTGCAGAGCTAAAGAGGTACGTGCCCTTCTTCCTGCCTGCCACGTACTCCAGTCCTGTGCCGGGCGCACCACTATGGAGCCTTTTACTGCCCCTGAGCGTGTAAGAGGAGTTTGACTCTTCACAAAGACTCAATTCTGACTGTGGGATTGGAAGTAGGTTTGACAGTTTATTTCAGCATGGCAATATAATTTTTTGAAAGAAGCGAGGGGCTGTTCAGTGGATGTGGTGCATCCCCACCTTCAAAAGGTAGCCTAGCAGGAGCATGTTGAGAACCTGGCAGTTGCCTTGAACATGTTGCCTAGCCTGGTTCTGGAGAAAAGAGAACAGATTTGTTCGTATGACAAGAATAAGGAAAAATGGAAAGTGCTAAAAAGGCTCTTGCATTCACACAGAGAAGAAAAAAGGAGGCAGAAGATGAGTTTCTCTATACAAGGAAACCTTAATGTCAGGTGGGATGTTGCTGATGGTGATACTTCTGAGTTTCTTTCTTGTTTACAGTCATCATATTAAGTCTGTTCTTTTTTTAAATTAATTTTTTAAACTTTTTTTTTTTAAAGATTTATTTATTTGTGCATACAGAACTGGGG